GGACTATATCGTCTGCATATTCTAAGTCAACGAGATTATTCCCTGGTACCAAGTCAATCCCTGAGTCTCTGAAGTGTGTTAGGGTTAAGTCCATTAGTACATCTATGATGAAGTTGAATAGAAATGAGGATAATGGGCATCCTTGACTAGTCGTCACCACTTCAGATGACAACTCGCCGTAAGTCCTCACCTAGCTGCCTGACTATGAGTAGAGTGCCTTAATCAGTGCAATGTATCTTCTCGGCATTCCCTTTACAGCCAAGCATCGCCAGAGAACCTCCCGGTCGACAGAATCGAATTTCGCCTTTAGGTCAAGAAATATAATGATTGTTGGACGCCGGTAGGAATGCCTATGTTCTAGAATCTGTCGTGGGGTGAAGATATGATCAACACACCCTCTTCCTGGCCTAAAACCTGCCTGGTTTTCTCGTGTTTGTGCCTCCCGAGCACCATTTAGTCTACGCAGTTTTATTGAACTTAGGACTTTAGATACTATATTAGTCAAGCTAATCCCTCTGTGATTATCACCTACCGCTTGTGTATCTCCCAACGTACGAAATGTTTATCGTATATGACCAAACCTATATAGTTCATAAGCTGTTTTTACGATGACTATTGTATTCATTACTGTATTCTTAAAAACATAATTAAATTACTATTAGTATTGAAGAAAAATAAAATAACTGTCTGTAGGTCATAAGTGAAATTCGAGCAATTGATTGGATCTTATACAATGTAATAGTGTTTTGAGAACTTCTAATTGCGTACATTCCACACTGCATAAAATTTTAGTTGCAGCATTACCAGAGTTTATAGTAAGCTGGCTACCATTTACTTGCTCACTTGTCAGTTGACTGTTCATTCGCCTACGATTACAACACAATATGCGGTGGAACCTAAGGAAAGCCATTTCATAGTCAATCATTATTGGGCAATTACTAGTGTATTATTATTATTATTGTTATTTATTCCCCTAGGTTCTGAAAGGGGGACTTAGAACTTCAACAGTACAACTCCGTTCCACTCTGTTCTTTCCAATCTTTTCTAGCCGGTTACACGACTCTGCATTTAGCTCTCATGCCCTCCTCACACGGTGTCACTTTCGGAGGCAGAACTCATCACTCCTCATTCGGCCTCCACTTAAAGATCTGGTATGGCCTAGGGCGTAATTTCACTCAGGAGCCTCCTCAGCGTGTGTCCAGTCTATCTGTATTAACTTCGGCATATTTGTGGGGTAGTAGGTTCTTTGTTGGTTTCTTGCCAGAGTTCTTTGTTGCTTATTGTTTCAGGCCATCTTTTTTGACTTTTGAGTGAAGGCAGCTATGAAGCAATGGACTGTGATAAAAGTTTGATTTCTGAAGGTTCTGTAGCTGATATAGTTAATGATTATGTCTGCGTTGAAATCAATCAACTTTTAGAATAAGGCAAGAACAACAGTGGTTTGTTCAGAACAAAATGGTACCATCATTTATTTCGTTAGCTTCTCATCAGCTGCTTACAACCTAGATCAATTATTATTATTATTAAGTTCATGTTTTACATGATTTTATTTGACAGGAAATTCCGAACTCAGTGAACAGTGCTCAGAAGATTACGTTTATATATTTTTTACACAGGCAGTTCAAGTTTAAACAAAGTAAATGTATGCATACAATGGTAAAGGAGTTACGTAATAAAGATGAGAGGTACGAAAGATGATGAGTTACTAATAATGTATTGAGTTCAACTCAAATCATAGAAGCAAGAGACAATGCAAATCACACTGTATCAAGGGATGGGGGTGAGGTTGAAGCCAAAGGTTACGTAATCAAATGAAGTAGAGAATAAAGTCATCCAGTTACCAGGGCATGTACCGAAAAGCCTACACCTCAGGAGAACAAACGCTTACAGTAGTGCCATTACCAGACAGACATCTCCTTGATACTGGTCATGAAGTGGAAATCTTAGATTCCTTTAAAATTATCAATGGACGAAAAAGCTCAATTCTCCTCAAGTTTGGCGAAGTAATCTATTTCAAACACCTGAAACAGAATCCATGTGTTCAGAAAAAAGAGGTTATCAGTTTTTTCTTGTCCTGGTAACTGCGTGTGTCTTTGTTCTCTCTTTCACATTTGATTACGTAACCTTAGGCTTTAACCTCACCTCAGCGCTTCGATATAGTGTAGTTTTGCTTGTCTCTTGTTGAACTCAATACATTTTTACCCACTTTATTTGTTACTTTGTTTAAACTTGAGCTCTGTGTCAACCAGCATAATGGGAAAATTGCGTGTATGTTAAAACTTTTCTGTACATGAACTTAATAATAATGATAATAATAATTTATTTAGGCTGTATGCAGCTGAGGACAAACCAATGAAATAAAAATAATGGTTACATATTATTCTAAGAACACAATATTCAGCGAAGAGACTCTTTTCAACTAATTTATTATCAAGCTGTACAATCGTATAGATATGGTTTTTAAGAAATTATATCCGGTGAGGGAATTAAGTCAAAGGTGTGAATACATGAAATAATAATAATAGTAGTATGAAATGCAATTAAAATATTTGTGATTATAATCACAGTTTAATGTCAAGTGGCAAAATAATTAATGTCATATATAGAATAATACATAAGGTGTATAGAATTTTGGAAAGGGGTACATAATTATAAGATTAGTAGACGAATATAAAATGTTACATAACATGGTGTGAAATTTGATAAGATAGAATTCAATATTGTAAAAATAAAAATATAAAAATTAATAATTTTGGGTTTAAAATGTCAAGTGGGTCAAGTGGAAAAGATTCAGAGTGAGAATAGTAATAATAATAATGATAATGATATTAATAATAATCGTAGTAATAAGGGAAGAGTACATAGAATAACTAAATAAACAAAATAAATAAATAAACCTCTATCCCTCTACGGCCAAGGCAGAAAGAAGTAGGGATTGCACATACTTCTTTTGTACACAAAGGTCTGTTTGGGTTAAAGTCATGAATTGCCAAAGCCTCAGCTGTCTTTAGAAGTCTGTAACGAAGAAAACGCGGGAAGTTAGCATGGATTCTATATATGATCTTAAAATCATGGTCGGGGTTAACAGAGTGACAGAAGTCGATCAGGTGTTCCAAAATAAAGCTGCAAAAAGCAGTTGTTCTTGCTTTATTCAAATTCATGTTGTAAGAGAATAAATGTATGAAATCAACTTTTCGTAAGCGAAAAATACACTTGGCTTACAGTCTATTCTTAGAATTTGCCTTTTCTATCAGCTACTAAAAATAGAAGCGTTGTTCAATTCTTTTGTAATGCTTATTAAACAAATAAATTTTTGAAAATTTTGTTAGTATTACTGCTGCAATATTTCTTTTTTTTCAAAAGTAAACATTCAGGTGTTGGTTTGTAGGGATTTGATCGCTTACAGGATTTTCATCATGAGCTGACATTAGTTAGAGAACCATTGGAAAACCTGGGAGTACTCGACAGTTGTTTCGTCCTAGTTTCGGGCTCTTCAACAGTACGCACCCACCGGGATTCGAACCCAGGACCTTCTGGTTACAAGGCGAGCTCGTATACCATTAAGCCACTGGGACCCGATCCAATGGTCCATGAATTCTAACTTCTGCCAATTCACGACATAGCGCGACCCCTAGCCAATGTCTTCGGTGACCTGCTGCACCCCACTGTTGTTGTTAAGTGGTTGGGAACAATTGATACGAAACTGGGGACCTCGGTTTTATACTTGATGGCAATTGTGTTTCGATTTGGATATGTTTGTATAGCTGTTTGTTAACTTGTATAACTCTGTCATTCATATGAACTTTATGTCTGGTTCAGTTATTTTGGATTATTATTATTACTAGGACTCACCAGTGGTTGAACATGACTGGAAATTCATCACAGTGACACATATTATATATAGTCATTCCTTATTGTCTTCAAAATCATGAATTTTAAATGAGTAAAATTCATTACCTCATCATTCTTTCTGCCCTCAATTTTGTTTACGGGTGATAATAATACTACTTGGCTGCCAAAACCCGCTACGTAGAGATAAGTTTGATGACCTATAACCCATCGGTTGAAAGTTCAATGCCTTTTCTAGTAAATAGCAGCCACTGGAGAGAAGAAATTAGTTCAATGGATCTAAATGAAAATATTCAGGACTTTGAAGGTCAAAAATAATGAATCAATCAACTGTATATGGATTGTGGTGTCATCTAGATTTTCTCACCATTAATTTTGACCAACTAGATTTCCTCAGACAGAAAGTCTATACCTCCCTACAGAAGTCATATACTTTATGGTTTGCCATTTTTTGAGGATATGTGACCCATTGTCTTGAGCACTTGGTTTTCAGCCGAGGAGTCATGGATTCGAGTCTCTCCGTATGTACTTTAGCCTGGGCATATTTGGGTAGTATCATCAGGCCTCACACGACAAGTGTGCCTCTTAGTCTGGCATCATGGTTAGTTAAACTTAAATAGAAACATGTTTAACTTACGTGATAGTGTGGTGAGAGCTGGCTGCTAGCCAAAGTTGGTAGACAGTAATTGACGTCAGTGTTTATGTCCCCAATATTGGTGTTGAGAAAATGAGAACAAAAGCTTTGCGTAGGCGGATACAGTTAGCATATGGATGATCTGACATAGCCACAAAGAGATGCAAGGTTAACTTTCTGTGAGAAACAACCAATCAAAAGACTGCATTATCTATTAACAATAATCTACAATAATGTACATTAAAATCTTTAAATATGTGTTGATTTTCCTTAATAAACGATCTGTTGCCTGACCCTTGTCTTCTGTTGTTACAATAACACTGTGGATAATCTTGTTCTTTCAAGAGGATGGCTGTTCAATATGCCTATTGAATGTCTCTTCTGGTTCACTAATTTGTAGGTTTAATTATTTTGAAAAGATGAATTATAGATATAAAAGCTCTACATTACTACTGAGTATTTATTTATATTAATGACATTGAAATGTTTGTTTTCTATGTTTCTTCTTGTTTCTCAGGGGGAATTTATCTGTCACTCGAACTGTTTGGTGGTGTCGAGCTATCATTATTAACCTATGCGTCTTCTTTGTGGTATTCTTTCTGACTACACCTACATACGTATTGAATTTGGTTAATACACTGCATTTAACTGAACGTCTACAGATTAACGTAAGTCTTGTTACATAACCTGTCATTTGGATTGGTCTCACTCTCTCTCTCTCGAAAGATGTACATGTATACATGATTACGTGTCATGCAATCAAGGGCTTCTACTTGTCTGTAATTTTCCCTTTTCTTTAGACAGAAATCTACAGGAGAAATAATAGTAGCATAGAGGAACATGAGGACTATATAGATCTGTAAGATTACGAAGAATGAGTGCATCTGTGCCATTCAGTGAGAACGATTGCGAGTTGTATTACCAACAGTCTGCAGACACTAGCACATTACAGTTCTACTTTAGAGACGATGAAAATGACTTTTTCTCTCAGGTCGATAATTTCGGTGTAGTTGTCTTCTCTCTGAAATGGGATAGTTTAACTATGAGCCTATCATTGTCTTTCTCGACAACATACGACTTCAGTATAAATTCGGCATGGAAGATGTTGTCTAGAAGGACAATAACAGCTTCTCAACTGCTCAGAGAACAAAACCGCATCAATACATGTCTTACTACTTGTTCTGTCTGGCGAATGTAGCTTTGTATAATATATATCAAACAATAAGTCGATACTGTTGTGATGGAAGAAGATGCTCTTGTCAATTAGGGTTCGTACTTAGCATTACTTCAACACTTGACAATATATATTATGATGGAATACTCAAGTACTTTTCATATAGAGTGAGAAGGCACAGAAAACTGACTGAGAAGATTAAAGATGTATTACTTCTTTGCGAAATGCAGTATTACTAGAAATTACCGCTATATATATGTGATCATTTTACACAATCAATAAATATAAAAACTATACCACTTTGAGTGGTGAGGTTAGGCATCGAGTGCTAGGTAAGGAGGGGAAATCAGTCGACGGGGCTGTGAAATTACATCGACTGAGATGGTTAGGACATGTGTTACGTATGCTTAGTCGTCGCCTTCCTCGACAATGGGCACTGTTAGCTGATATAGGGTCAGGCTGGAAAAGAGCCAGCCAGTAGTGGTCAAACCAAAACATGGCATCACCAGTCAATTAAATCCACAACAGTTAGTCTAAGCCACATAGGAAGGTGTAGACTTCCTGGTTGGTGTCCTCGGGACGGTAAAAACCAATGGTTGGAAACAATTGGTGACATGGCTCAAAATCGTTGTCAATGGCTGGCGCAAATGCATCCACTCCTTGTGACTTATGATTTCCAATGAAACTGTTTTATTCTTCGTTATTACTATTCCTTTGTCTCACACCTTTGTTTACTGTCTGTATTATGCATTTCTCCCACTTTCTTCTCTTCCTTTATGTGCTAAAGGGAGGGAGTGTGGCGACTTGAACTGGCGCATACATGTGCAAAGTTCTATGTCGAAAAGAGACAGACAGACCACTTTGACTGGATGATAGCATGGCAAGATGCCTTTAGTCTATACTAGAGTGAAGTGTCTGGTGTGCATATCTGGAGTATGTCTATTCCTGTCCTAACACATATACGTCCTGCTATGAGATCATATTTTCAGGCATTTGCTGTATTCAATATCCTACGGTCACAAGTTGATTCAGCATGTGATACCTGATTGATTATGTATCCTAAAGGTGTAAAATTTGGTACTTAGAAGTGTCTTCACAATGAAGAGTCTTTGTGTAATACGTTTCAACAAGCGAATCACCTCTTTGTTGCGCCACGTTGTCGTGTTCACTGAAATCTAATAGATGTTGGAGGTGTGTATGTGTGTGTACAAGTGTGAACAAGTATTTGTATGGTTTTTAAGTAAGTATTCGGTCGGTCGGTTTTCGACATAGAACTTTGCACATATGTGCGGAAGTTCAAGTCGCTACACTCCATGTAGCACACAAAGCCAGAGAAGAAAGTAGGAGAGATGCATAATATAGACAGTAAACAGAGGTGTGAGACAAAAAGAATAGTAATAACGAAGAGCAAAACCGTTTCATGGGAAATCATAAGTCACAAGGAGTGGATGCATCTGCATGGGCCATTGAGAACGATTTTGAGCCAAGTCACCAATTGTTTCCAGCCATTAGTTTTTACCGTCCCGAGGACCCCAACCAGGAAGTCTACACCTTCCTATGTGGCTGGTTTAAACTAACTGTTGTGGATTTCATTGGCTGGTGATGCCGTGTTTTGGTTTGACCACCACTGGCTAACTCTTTTCCAGCCTGACCCTATATCAGCTAACATTGCCCATTGTCGAGGAAGGCGATGACTAGGCATACGTAACACATGTCCTAACCATCTCAGTTGATGTAATTTCACAGTCTCGTCGACTGACTTCCCCGCCTTACCTAGCACTCGGCCGAAGGCTAACCTCAATATTGCTCACTTTATTATACCACTTCACGCAGGAGATAGAATGCAGACACCTATGATCGAAGACAGCTAATCTTTTCATGTCTTCTGCTGTCAATGGCCATGTCTCACAGCTAGCCATAAAGGAGGATGGAGCGGACTGATGAGCAGTACACACGCCCTTTGGTCTATAGTCGGATATCGTGTCTACGCCAGAGACGGCGTAAACTGGCATATGCGAAACTAGCCTTGTGTATTCGTGCTGAGATTTCGTCAGAGATCAACGCGTTGGTACTGGCTGATGGTACTTCCCAAGTAAGTGAAGCGGTCAACGCGCTCTACCACTTCACTTCCTATTTCTAATCTAGGGGTCAGTGAAGTCCAATCCTGCAGCATCATCTTACATTTTACGGGGGCGAGTCGCATGCCACGGTGGTATTCGGTGGTATTCTCTGTTCATTTCTGTCATTAGTTCTAATATCGTGGTGCAGTAAACTCCATTTGTGAATACTTTAAAAGAGACTATTGAGAGTTTTTGTGTTGTCGATCATGTAGGACTGCACGTTTGCACGCTATTATGAGTAGTGGTAGTTCACCGACAAGACTTTTTTCGACGAATTTATTTTCAAAAAAAATTGAGCCAAAAATATCCTTTTTGATAATTTCCTCTTCTGGCTCTACAATTATATACATATCATATGGATGGGAAAGTTCCAGAATACTTTCTGGTTAGGGGTTAAATTAATAAAAATTACAATTAGGAATTAGAATGCCACAATAAACAGGGGGATGGGTAAAACTCAAACAGAGTAGCATTATAATAACTAAGAAGATTGACATTGTGCAACTGGGGGTTAGAAATGTAAAAATAACAAAATATACGCTGAGGAAAACATACTTCGCCACGACCCTACGACTGACGTTTTCCTGCAAGAAACTATTCAACCAGAACGCGAAAGACAAGCTGTCGCATTGGGCCACCTCAACGTGCATATACCAGTTTACTTGCTCTTGTGGAGCTGAGTGCATCGGCCGTACCATGCACCAACTTGGTAAACGCGCTCGTGAACACTACCCAGACTGGCTAGTAAAGGAGAGCAAAAACGTGTATACAGTTCAGTGACAGAACATCTGGTCAACTCAGGACATTCAGCGCCTTTCGAAAAGTCCTTCAAAGTAATATACAAGATTCAATCAAACCTATCAAAGGGAGTGAAATCAAGACATTTGGGCATAGCTGAGGCGTTAGCTATCCAAAAACTCAAACCCACTCTTTGTATCCAAAAGAAATACATCCAACCCCTGTCCCTGCCATGGCCACCATAAACAGGTAAATTTTTTAATAATGACCATCCCATCGCCTTTCTTATCTAAACTTCCTGTTTATTCATGTTACTTTAAGTTTTTCTCAATCCCTGTCTACACTACCTGTTTATTTTGTCATTTTACTATTTCTACGTATTTAATCCCTGATTGCATAAACAATTATTCATCACATTAGTTTTTTATCCAAACATCCTGTATATTTTGTTATTTTTACATTTCTAACCCCCAATTGCACAATGTCAATCTTCTTAGTTATTATAATGCTACTTTGTTTGAGTTTTACCCGTCCTCCTGTTTATTGTGGCATTCTAATTCCTAAATGTAATTTTTATTAATTATATACATAGAATATTCTAGGATCGTCGTCATTAACAATACTGGTGTTTTTAAATACTATCGATTTCTAAATTAAGATCAATGGGAGTACAGTTCACGAAAGACGCTTAAGTTATAATCAGCATAAAAATGTAATAGTAAACGGAATATCAAATAAAATCAAAGGCATTTATGCAACAAACTAAGGATCAATAAAGCCTTGATGGCCAAGGTAAGAACAGTGTCTGAACCAACTTCTTCTTTCGGAAACATAAGTTAGATTTCTCAATGTTAGATCCCAATAACCACCTTCTGTAATATGTAGTAGACTAACTCTTCCGCTAAAGTTAAGATTCGTTGGTATTCGGTAGATGACTTTGAAAGCTTTGTTGACGTCAATCTTGTGTTCTGTATCCACGAGATGAGATAAATTAGAGCTATGAATGGTTGTCCCCTACTCAACCATGCAGGACGGTGTTGGGAAATCCGACCATAAACACGCCTACGCAACTGGCTCCATAGGAGCAGTCAAATTGGTATATATAGGTGAAATCAGGCAGTTTATCTTTCACTCCCGAACGCGAAATAGGGGTGGCTTTGAAGACACGGTATACTGCAGCAGCACTGAATGCTCTTGTTATCACATTCCTTAGGCGTTGTGTTAATATCTCGCTGATTCTTTCACAGATGAACTGAAGTTTTAAGAATAAGTCCTTGTTCGGAACTGTTGCCCGGCCTTGATTTTTGATTCATATTCTTATGGATGAATTTTTCTGGGTAACCGTTCCCACTCAGCAACTGTTTAATAATATTAAACTCTTCATTGAGACATTCATTCATCAGAGCAGATTGCCCTTCCTGTGTGGCTGAAGCACTTTATTAGGCTGCGTCTGTACTTCAAAGCCAGGAGGCTGAAAAAGTGAGTATACTGACTGACCAGTCGATGTAGGTAGATTTTCTATATACACTTCTCATTGCACCGTTGTGTTTTCTAGTCATAAGAACGTCTAGAAATCATATACTAGAGTCTCTTTCTTTCTCAATGGTAAAATTTATTGCAGGATGAATATTGTTAA